GTACGCAAGCGTTGGCCGATTTTAGTTTTTGCGACCTTGTTGAAATTTTATCATTCACTGATTATTTAGCGGCATTAAGGAAATGCTTTTAGATTTGTCTACACATAATTAATGACAAGCTGATAAATCCTAGTAATACGAGCCCTTTCCCACTTCAGTTAGCCCAACTATTGAAATCTTAGTTTTTTCTTATCAAATCTCTAAAAATTTCGAAAATGAGATTTTTAAAATTAAAAGTTTTATTTTTTTGATGTCTATGTACCATGTCAACGACGAAAAAGCATAGTTTTTGAAAATCGGTCCAGCGTCGCCGGAGAAAATTTCCAAAAACGAAAAAATAAAAAATAAAAATAAAAATAGAATGAAAAAATCTAACTTCTTTTCTTGACATTTCAGAGGATCATTAATGAAAACATTTTAGGGGCAAAAAATTGGGGTTGTTGCAGGGTATATTGATACACTTCCAGCTCCGGTGATTCTACGTACCTATTAGACATATTTCACACATCACTGGCATTATGTTTACTCCAAAGAAATGAGGCATATACAGACATGCTTATCACTACAATCTGGGGATTTTTTTTCATAAAAAGTTCAAATAGTACACCTAGGGGTCTGACAAAACCTACGTATTTTTTAAGTCATTGTACTAGATGAAAAATTGCACTAGAAGTTGTTTCAAAGGCGTAGAAAGTATAAAATAATCTACTTGATATCATTTTTTTTATATACTGACGATTGTTCACAATCTCGACACCCTGGGAACGTAGGAGCGGTCGTATCGACCAGTTCTGTACGAAGATAGACAGAGTTAGGATAGAAGGCTACCTGGCGGGTCCATCTGTCTGAACGCGAATTTTAACTGTATGACTTGACCCGTTAAAAAAATGGCTGTGATACACTAAACAAGCAATCTTTATATCATACGATTAAAAGATCATTTTAATGCCCCTAAAAAATAAAAACAGCTTAACCTGTGTATATTCCCAGAAAATAAAAACAGTTATTCGCACAAGTACCATACGGCTATTTAAAGAAAACATGCATAATATAATTATTTATTGTGTCAATGTAATTTGAGCTGGCCAGTTTAACTGCATAGGTCTGATTATACACACCGTTAGACTGCTTTTTATAATCACATTTACCTATTAAACTCTATATTTTCCACATGTGGCAAAGTGCAGTAAATGTCTCGTCATAACCTCTAACCCATTAACTTTATGGCTTGTATGATTCCAGTAGTATGTGAAACTAACGACACCGGTAACTACAACAGATTTTTGCGACGATTTTTCTGACATGGATATGACGAATTGAATTATTGTAACCATACGCGTATACAGGGTGCCCCATCCATGCGAGAAGGGAAGATGGCTCTTGGACAACTTGTTGAGAAAAATCACCTATGGGTCATTATACAAGATATTTGAAGCACACTTCTGAAATATTCACAGTTATACAGAGTGTTCCTTAATGATATGCGAATATTTAAGGGTGTGAGTCTACATACATGAAAAATCAATGTTAGTTTGCTTCATAAGTTGGTCCAAAAATGTTTCCTTACAAAAAGTCAGTTGCATTTGAATAATTCACCATTATTAACAGGATTGTAAAAACTAGATAATGAAAAAGATGTCACGGCGAACAGATTTGAATAACAGAGATTTGTCAGATGTCAAAAGCCAGTTACATATTCCATAGCAACTAGATATTTATTGCTTAATTGAAGAATGCAAATTAATTTTCTCGGACAATAGAACAGTTTTTATTTTTGTACTCAAAAATGGCGCATCACAGAAAAACAATTCATGAGAGATCATTTGTTTTAAATTGAACGGGATGTTCAAAAATAATTTTTATTAGGCAAAAAACCAGTGGCGTACCATTTTTTTCTTAAAATATATCGAAGTCAATACCCGTACGCACGCTACTGGTACAGCTAAAAATTAGTTTTGCATTGAAAAATATGCAACTTTATTAACTTATACTACGTACTAAATATCAGTGAAATATCTGAAGCGGTTCTAAAAATATTAATTAATTTCCATTTTTTTCCTAAAACTTCAACACCCCGAGTTTTTGTAAGGAAACATTTTTGGACCATAGTTTATATAGCAAACTAACAATAATTTTTCACCTAGATTCACACCCTTAAATATTCGCATATCATTAAGGAACACCCTGTATAAGGTGTCCCAATTTTGGCGCAATTGTCATTCTTTTAAACGGTTGCCCCAAATTTTGTTCCATACCTCAGCGTAAACCTAGTTCGGTAATTTTTCGAATTCTCATTTTCACTTATACAGGGTGGACAAAAAACGCAAAATGGACTTCTTTAAAATGCAACCTGTATATTTTTGCATCCGCAAACATTTTCGCGCCATAACTTATTAAAACGTCGATGCTGTGCGCAAACTCATCATTGAAGATAAACATGTGACATATCGCGAGATTGAAGCGTCCTTGAAGATCTCAAAGACCTCAATTCATGAAGAATTAGAAGTAAGAAAATTAGTTTCTCGTTGGATACCCCAACTGTTGACTGAAGAACAGAGAGCAGCCAGGGTTAATTGGTGTCAAAAACTCAAAAAATGTGTACAGCATTGTTAGTGGTGATTAATCGTGGATTTACTGTTATGAACCAGAAAATAAACGACACTCGGCTGTTTGGGTGTTCCAAGGTAAAGAAAAGCCAACAAAAGTCATCCGTTTCGAAAAAGATGGTCGCGAATTTGTGTCAAAAGCAGGTCATATTGCAATAATTCCTCTTAATGAGCAAAGAACTGTTACTGCGGATTGGTATACCACCATTTGTTTGCCAAAAGTCATCACCGAGCTTCGAAAAATCAACCCCGAAAGAAGAATCATCCTCCACCAAGACAATGCAAGCTCGCACACAAGGCAGAATTATTAATCTTCGTGTAGAATACTTCGAAAAACAATAAAGTCATTTAAAACTACCTACCGTGTTGTTTTATTTCCATATCCAAAACTTAAAAGACACCCCTCGTACATGTTTCATTCCTGCATATCCGATCATGCGCATATAAAATGTGCAACCATATATTCGTAGCTAAACGTCAGATTAAATGGTGTTCTAGGAATATACCGACGTAAAATGAGTAACCCAAACAAATTTGTTCAAATAATAAATTTACTTAGCACTAGAGTTGAATGTTAGTACCTCTGTGTGGACACAATTTAACAGTGTAACAACCTGATGTGATGTTCTGAGCAATACATGTCTCATTTCTTTCCACAAATGAATTCGAGATTAGATCATTGTCAGAGTACCGAATACCTTTAACAAGAACTGTTTCATATTTCTGCTACGAGGTGTCCCAGAAATAACACGCCAGAGTGACACAGGAGGTAGATCGGATAAAATCAACATGACAATAGTAAAAGTTTTCTAATTTTCGAGATATTGCCACTTTTAAGCTTTTTCAAAAAATCCCTACTTTTTTAACTTGTTTTTTCCTTGAGCTACCATTAATAATTTTCGTTTGGTCTCAAGTATATAGTTTGCCAGATAGCAGATAAGTGCCTTACCCGCCTAGAAGCATAAAAGATGTACCACAACCCAATAACTATTCACAACAAGAAGTGGCGTATCTCATTTTTACCAAATTTACAGGAGAGCGTTTTGAATATTTTCACGAGATTTGTGAGTATGTCTCCTCATGTTTACAAGCTTTTCAAAAATGAGCAACGATTAACCCATTTTTCATTTTGTGTTCAAAATTTCCAAAAAAAGTAGATACGTCATTTTGTGAAATTGAAGGGTAATAATTCATAGAATAAACATTTAGTCCGTGTTATATTAAGTGATGAAAAATCAAAACACACGAAATTCAAAGAAAAAATGTTTTCCTACAAGACAAAATGGTTACAAAAAGAACAGTGAATGTTATGGCAAAATAAGTACCCGCAGTATCTACTAGTATTTAACTTCCTATACAAGTTAAATATGGCAGCAAAAATAAAAGACTCACTCAAATAACAATGATATAATAACATGAACGAAATAATAATTAGTATTTCATATACGTCATCGAGTGGGCTGGTCCCGTGTCGGTGGGAAAGCGCGTGTTGGATAGTGGGACAAGTGCCGTTTCAGTTGGCAAGATGGTTTGGAACGTTGAGCATCGTGTGTTCACTATACGTCGGTACTTTCAAAATGGCGAGTCTGTACTACTCATTTAAAAAACATGCGTTCTTTCTTACTCATGAGGAAGATTTAAATCGAATCTTTGGTATTCTCGTGAACGAACTACCGGTATATCTGCTCCACACAGCGACTTCAAATAGATATATTTTTTGTAGTCATTTTTTTTAGCTCTGCACTGAATTAGGTTTTTTCTTTTTAAACTGTATTCGTGCTGAATGTGGAGTCAAAAAGATAGATACGTCACAGTGCGTATAGTGATAAAATTAAAACCACAATTTTACTAACTGGCATAACTTAGATAAGCCACGCGCTTGAATATTTTATAATTTCACAAAATTGGCGGAACTTGAGTTAAGCTACCTCGTGAAATTCAATTTCCTATTAAAATGAGATAGTCTAATACTATTTTTCTATAGCTCTGAAGGTATTAGAAACTGACTTAACGCGACTCCATGATATTGAAAGAGACCTTAAAGGGATGGTTTATGGGGCTGGTCCAATAACAACTGAAGCACAACTTTGCGAAAAAAAAATTAATGCGGCTGAAATAATAAATGGACAACTTCGAGGAGCTACAGCAAGAAGAAACTGGGTTCGTCGTAATGAAGCTTGTGTGCAATATATGGAGGACGACATTTTGAACACCTTTAAATACAAAAAAAGTGCAGTGTGGGTTTTAAAAAGAAAAACATTTAAATAATGACTATCATAACGTATACACCCTGTAAAATCTCTGTACCAAATTTCAGCCATTCACATATTCTATTCATAATATCAGTGGGCATATCAAAACATTTCACAATACTAGACATAAAAATTAGATTACTCACCTGATTCCGACGACTGGCACTCCCCCAACATCGTCTATCATCTCCGATAGCACAAGTACCGTCGCACCGGGAACCTGGGCTTGAGGATATTGCAGCAGTCCCTGTCCATTACCTTGCAACACTACCGACACAGTACCTTGCGGACTACCGACAGTCTCGCCGACCATTGCGCCCGAATTTCCGTCAATCAAAACGTCAGCAATTTGCTGGCCGTGGATTTGATGAGCACTGATATTGTTTATAGTTATTTCCCCGGAATTATCGGCAGAGTATATCTCCAAACCCTTCTGGTCTGGAGCCGTTGTGTATATCACTGTCTTGTTACCGTCTTCGTAGATTAAGTCTATTGGGGTGTCGTTCTTGTCCGTCATCCCTTGAGCATATATATCTTCATCTTTGTCGTACAGCACTTCCGTCTTCACCTGGAATAGAATGTTTGCATTACGATAACTCCGCGTAACATCATCGAGAGAGACAGGCAAGTCCACTACCGTCGATATCCAACATCGGTTTTTGTGCTCCCCCAAAGTATCCTAACTAAGCTTTTTCTATTATTTTTTTATCTGTCCACGTGATTCTCAACCTTTTCGCTAGCATGCGACTAAAATCTGAAGTCAAAACAGCCCGTCGATCAATCAGAAGCTACTTCATGGTCTGATTCATGGAATAAACCGAATCGTGATCGTGTGAACCGTTCACTTTTCACTGCCCACTCAAGGCAAGAGTCACGAAAGAGAGATAGAAAGCGTGTCGTCCTTTTGCTCCGTGATAACGTGGCTTTAGATAGGTAATGGGAGGTGGTACTAGGGTGCCTTAAGAAACTAGGATTCAAGTTACCTGAGCGTAAAGGGGCGCACGTCCCATGGCACTTTCTTCTTCCATTTCCTTCTTGAGTTCCATGACATTGACAGGCGTCATGGTGGCAAGCATGGCCGGCGATCCAGGGGCCTCCGGCGACTTTTCGCTGGCCCCAGGGGATAAATGTTGGTGTGGTTGTGGAGGTGACATCATGTGCTGTTCCTGTTCCACCGACGGTGACGAATTGGAAGACATGTTATCTAGTTGGCGTCGCGTCATTATGGCATCGATTGTTTTTATCACAGTGGTCACTTTATTGCACTTGGTTTACGTATGATGCTCGGATATGGCACGGTTATGGCGTTCGCTGGACGGGATTTCAGTCGATTTGGGGGCTTAGTCTGGAAAAAATATAATTGATTTTTAGGTTATAAAAATGTTTTATCGTCATCGTGCAAATAATGCATTAGAACTTTCAAGAACAAATATCTCGAAAACTATTAGCTTTAGACACTTTTAACAAGTAAACCTTTTTTGTTGTGGAAATACGAGAAAATAAGATTTTTCGGTCAGTTGTTGTATACAGAGTAACGCAAACAAATTATGATAAGTTATTTACCGAAATAGTGCTGTAAGTGGCGCCCTCTTGAAGTTTGGCCATATAAAATAATTCTTGATTCTCATACTAGGAAACCTCCCTATACCAAAATCTGAAATACAAGGTTTGTTCAATAAGTATCGCGAATTTAATGTTTTTTCAAGAATTATTAATTTATTCATGAATGTCTATTTTGTCCGCTCCAAAGTAATCCCCATCAAATATTATACACTTGTGATAACGTTTTTTCCAATCCTCGAAGCATTCTTTGTGATCTTTCATGGGCCTCTTCAGTTTCGGGAACACGAAAATGTCACAGGGGGCCAGGTCTGGGGAATACGGTGGGTGAGGCATTATTGGAGTGTTGTTTTTGGCCAAAAGTAACGATGCATGAGCAGGGGCGTTATCATGGTGTAAAAACAAATTTAATACAAATTCTTTGATCCATTTTTTGGAATAGACAAAAATCGGAGACAAGCTGAAACACGTCCACGCACAATTGCTGTCAAAAACTGACTGAATATTCAAAATGGCCGATATTGTCAACATTAGTAATGGTCATGAGTACCAACATAACGCCACAAAAAGATCGGAAATCGACCATACGTAGTCCGCGAAAATTCAAAATAGCAAGCAATAAGGAAAGATAGAAAATAAAATTGTAACTTTCACACCCTGCATCTCGAAAACTATCAACTTTTGGACTAAGGTAGGTTTAGGTCAATTCACATATTTTGGTCTGCAGTATCTCCGAAATTTACCAACCTTGCCTGTATTGAATTGATTTCAGATTCAGCGAGTCGCCCTGTATACAATAGACAATAAGATTCCCGAACCTGTCGTGCATGCTAATATGCCCAGATTACGGTCCACGACGATCCTGTCCGGTCATAGGTCAAAATCGAAACAAGTTCTTCCGGTTGTTCTCATAATGGTAAACAAACAATTACCGGTATGGTACGTATAATGCGGTACAACTGGCACGCGACTACTACTACTACAAAATGATTCATCTCTCCTCACTAGCAGTACCGGTTTTCATAAACCCTATTCTCTATTGAATCCCACATCCACCTTGCCTTTTGGATAGGACAGGATTCAGTTCTTCTTTGTGTGATGAAGCCGTCAACTTTGATTTAACTGTAAGCTCTAATTTGAATCGGCGTCAGCAAAGATTTCCATCGCAGAACCCAAATTGAGTTACAGAGGATAGAGAAGTTGCTTTTGTCTTTAGCCAAAAAAGCTCGACGGTATTCTTTAATTATTTTCAAAGAGCTCATGACACGTTCAGCACCAGCTGAACCCATAGGCAAAGTCAAAAACAATTTGAATAATCTGCAGCTCTCTGGAAAACTGTCTACAAAATTGTTTGCAATCATGAACTTCAAATAATCTAGCGGGCTGTCATTAGTAAAATTACGATTTTCCGAAAAATACATGCTCGTAAAACTGGCTAATTCATATCTTAGATCTGTAGTGAAAAAATCCGAATATTTTTCTATCAAATTAGTGACGTTTTCTTTAAGATTGACTAATTTCTCTGGTATCAAAAAAGCAAACACATCCACTTCACGACATCCTTTTTCTCTTTCTAAAAATGGGAAAACCAGGATTTTCCCATTCCACCTCTTCCCATTTATTCTTAGCCTTCAGAACAACATTATCGTATGTGCTTTCGCTCCTCAAAGCTTTTAATTTTTTTAATCCTGCTAAATGCACTTTTGAGCCATCATGAAGTCTTCTATTTCCTTCTTTTGCATTTAAACTTACACGGTATTCATTGCGCTCAATACTGAATGCCACCATAACAAAATGAGGAAAAAGGTCCAGTTCATGGAGGAAAGGAGAGACCTTGCATTCATTATATCTTCGCTACTCTTGAAATTCCATCTTGTATGCAATTGATAATACATTGAAAAAATTTCTCCCACGATATTATCATGAAGAAAATAGATATGTCATCAAATAAAAAAATACACAGCATTGTGAAAGTTTATGGTCATAAGCATTGAAGACGTGAAAAGACTGTAATAGGCGCATTAGAGTCTTGATTAGACTGAAAGAGGCTGATTCATAGCACGAAGATGTTTATTTACTGAACATTATATGCCAGGTAATATATAATATATCACTGTAAGCATAAAATAAAAAAATAACCCCTCTACTCCTTGAGAAATGACAGGGTCATTCGGTAATTTGTCAAAAAAAAAAATGTGTTGTCTGTTTCATAAACATTAAGCAGATGGTCATTCAAATAATATAATAACACTCTGATTTCTTGTTATGAATTTTACACTCAGACGCGCTGAACAATATAGACACTAGAGCTGATTTTTGCTGGGGGGGGGGGGCTGTGACCACCCTTCCTTGCCATTACTTGAATCCGCCACTGTAACGGACCAAACCACAAAAAAGTTGTTGCACTGGATTCAAAGGAGATTGTAAGTATAAGTATTAATCCATTCGCAGGGAAGACAAAAAAGAAGAATAAATTTTGTTATTTAACAATAAATTGTTCATTTTTAAATTAGATTTAATATTTTAATCACTTTTAGACTGTACCCTAAGGGTACAAGGGTAGGGTTGTCATCTGAAATTCGTCCGCCAGTCAAGTTTAAGAGACAGTACTGTCTGCGGATGGTCATGGTTGGAGAGACGCAAAGTAAACATGTTCATTTCGTCCTGACCTCAGTACGCACATGAATCCGTCAATTGCTACAGCAGCAAGCAGAATGGCAGCGGCAATTTACAATAATACCCTAAGGCGATGGTAACACAGCGTAGTTATTGTTTTGCTTGTCTTCAACACGCCCAGAATATTTAATTTTGCTACTCATGTCCATGGTCAGACGACCATACTCCGAGATCCACCAACGACAGCGACCAATCGCTACCAATGCCAGTGCCCGATTTCTGGCCAATTCCAATTACGGCGAGTCATACGCGTCGAATACTGATTATACCCTATTCGTAGTCCATTTACGCCCCGGCACAACAAAGTTGCAGCGCGGCAACGTGGCAGCCGCCTAAGCGTTGTAGTAGCCTATTGGCCATCCGGCCATAAAACTACGAACATGTGATAGATCTGGCGCCATCTATGAACATCGGATTCATAAACAACGACTTCAAAATCCCAAAGTTACTAAATTCTCTGTAAATTTCCGAAGAATCTTTCGCCATTTTATATTTTCCATTTTGTCTGTCAAATGTGGCATCTGATTTGTGTTTGGGATATAATACACGTAACGTATGTCCTAAAAGTTTTAGCACAAAATATTTATCGATTTTTTCAATGAAGAAGTTTATCATAAATTAACACTCAATGTCAACCTACTTGACGCGATTTTTTTCAGGCAGGCCATGGATAAAAGAATAATCATTGACAAGGCCGCCATCTCTCCCCTGCGCGAACGAAATTCAATAAACTCCAATTCAGAACATGGTATCTTCTTATCGCCATGTTTCTTTATATTAACATTTTTGCTGCAAAGGTCAACAATGAAAGCCACTCTTTCCCAAATCTCTTCTCCTTATGTGTATTATCATTATTCAAAATTCACCATGTTAAAAAATAGTCCCAAGGGATTTGCACAAAGTTTCATATGAGTGGAGGAGGCTCAGTTTGATACATATCCCCTCCACTTAAGTGCAAACTTGCAGCGAAAAAATAATATACATATAAATGAAACTCTAGTAGTTTCAGTATTAGTAGCACCTTAGCAAAGGCATCGTGGAAGGAAGGTTGAAGCGAACTCAAAAAGTCAACTGCAGCAAGTAGTACCTCAGCAAAGCAGATGTCCTCGTGGGGTAAAACGTTCAACAAAAAATCGAACATGGTTGTATGAATATCAGAGATCACCGAGAACAGTGGTACAAGAACAACAAGACTAAACAAAGCTATAAATGTTATCTGCAAAGCAATTGTTGACTTAAGGGTGAAATTCGATAGCTGAAGCGATAGTAGTACAATGCAAGTAGTACTTTAGCAGAGCAATTGTGACAGGAGACTTAAGATGTTCAAACGAACTGCAAATGTAAAGTTGCAAAGCGTTATGCGCACAAAAAATAACACAGTAGTAGTACCGCAGCAAATGTGGAAAGAGGATAAAATGTTTTAGCAAGTGGAAGAAGGGTTCAAATGTTTGAGCAAGCTCAAAATATCAGCTTGCAATACATTCTGGGTACAAAGTCAACTGTAGCAAGTAGTACCGTACCTCAGCAAAGCATATGTCCACTAAGGGTAAAACGTTCTAAAATAAATTTGTACATTGATACACGTGTATAAGAGAACAACAGAAGCGGATACACATCCAGTGCTAGCAGTACCTTAATCGAAAGAGTACCAAAAGGTTTGAACAAACTGAAAACCAAGGTTGCAATAAAACAACGCAAATAAAATTAAGTACAGCCTGATAGGAGCCACAGGAAAGTAAATGTTGACTTGAGGGTGGAATTCGATAGCTAAAGCGAAAGTAGATCCAATGCAAGTAGTACTTTAGCAAAGCAACTGTGACAGGAGACTTATGATGTTCGAACGAACTGCAAATGTAAAGTTGCAAAGCGTTATGCGCACAAAAAACAACACAGTAGTAGTACCGCAGCAAATGTGGAAAGAGGATAGAATGTTTTAAGTGGAAGAAGGGTTCAAATATTTGAGCAAGCTCAAAATATCAGCTTGCAATGCATTCTGGGTAGAAAGTCAACTGTAGCAAGTAGTACCGTACCTCAGCAAAGCATATGTCCACTAAGGGTAAAACATTCCAAAATAAATTTTGACATTGATATACGTGTATAAGAGATCAACGGAAGAGGATACACATCCAGTGCTAGCAGCACCTTAATGGAAAGAGTACCAAAAGGTTTGAACGAACTGAAAACCAAGGTTGCAATAAAACCACGCAGATAAAATTAAGTATAGTCTGATAGGAGCCATAGGAAAGTAAATGTTGACTTGAGGGTGGAATTCGATAGCTAAAGCGAACGTAGATCCAATGCAAGTAGTACTTTAGCAAAGCAATTGTGACAGGAGACTTATGATGTTCGAACGAACTGCAAATGTAAAGTTGCAAAGCGTTCTGCGCACAAAAACAACACAGTAGTAGCACCGCAGAAAATGTGGAGAAAGGATAAAATGTTTTAACCAATTCAAAGTATTGTTGCTGGAGTGTAGATAGCAACCAAAGTCAACTGCCGCAAGTAGTACCTCAGCAAAGCAAATGTCCACTGTCCAAAATAAGTTCGGACATTGCTATACGTGTATAAGAGATCAACGGAAGCGGTAGCATATCCAGTGATAGCAGTACCTTAATGGAAAGAGTACCAAAGGTTTGAACGAACTGAAAACCAAGGTTGCAATAAAACATCGCATGATAAGTACAGCCTGATAGGAGCCATAGGAAAGTAAATGTTGACTTGAGGGTGGAATTCGATAGCTGAAGCGAAAGTAGATCCAATGCAAGTAGCACTTTAGCAAAGCAATTGTGACAGGAGACTTATGATGTTCGAACGAACTGCAAATGTAAAGTTGCAAAGCGTCTTGCGCACAAGAGACATCAAAGTACTGCTCCTGGAGAGTAGAGAGCAACTAAAACTCTAGTAGATTTACTACTAGTAGCACTTTAGCAAGGGATTTGTGGAAGAAGGGTTGAAATGTTTAAGCAAGCTCAAAGTGTAACGTTGCAATGCATTCTGAGTACAAAGTCAACTACAGCAAGTAATACCCTACCTCAGCAAAGCATATGTCCACTGAGGGTAAAACATTCCAAAATAAATTCGGACATTGATATACGTGTATAAGAAATCAACGGAAACAGTAGGAAATCCTGTGCTAGCAGTACCTTAGTGGGAAGAGTACTAAAAAGTTTTAAGGAACTGAAAACCTAAGGTTCCAATGAAACAACTCGGATGAAAATCAAGTACAGCCTCAAATTCGATAACTAAAGCGGTTGTAGATCCAATGCAAGTAGTACCTTAGCAGAGCGATTGTGACAGGAGACTTAAGATATTCGAATGAACTGCAAATGTAAAGTTGCAAAATGTTCTGCGCATGAAAAACAACACAGTAGTAGTACCGCAGCAAATGTGGAAAGTATTGTTGGTGGAGTGTAGAGAACAACCAAAGTCAACTGCAGCAAGTAGTACCTCAGCAAAGCAAATGTCCACTGAGGGTAAAACGTTCCAAAATAAGTTCGGACATTGCCATACGTGTATAAGAGATCAACGGAAGCAGCAGCAGATCCAGTGCCAACATTACCTTAGTGGAAAGAGGATTAAAACGTTTGAACGAACTGGAAACTATCGTTTGGTAGGGGCAATAGCAAAACAATTGTTAACTTGAGGGTAAGATTCGATAACTAAAGCGATAGTAGATCCAATGCAAGTAGTACTTTAGCAAATCAGTTCTGACAAGATAGCTAAGATGTTCGAACGAACTGCAAATGTGAAGTTGCAAAGCGTTCCACACAGTAAAACCATCACAACAGCAGTACCTTAGCAAATATTGAAAAAGGGTAAAATGTAACAAATTCGAAGTATTGTTGCTCGCGTGTAGAGAGCAACTAAAGCGGTAGGAGATCCAGTAACTAGTAGTACCCTAGGAAAGCGCCAGGCTGAACTAGTATGGGCGTACCGCTCCGGTCGTACAAGACGCCATTCAGGATTAAGTGTGAGCAATAGTTGATGAACAGGTCTGCCAACTCTCGAATAACAGGTATTATTGTAATCATTCAATATTGAAAACAACTAGGTGAGAGTAAGCATGCTCGTCTGACGGCGTCGGTATGACAGCGGTACTGCTTGGCGGGGAAAAACACCAACAAGCTCGTTTTTTGTGGAATTTGCACGGTTTAAAGGGTGTATGCGTGTATATAGTGATTACCTATTGCTGCAAAGATCCTGTATATGGCGGAGACATTGTTAGGCACACTACACGGCACTGACACAACTGTCTATTGGCATGCATTGCAATTTCATGGATTCAATCACATATACGTACATCAAACTGCGTCTACAGGTGTTTCGAACTAATACTCTACTGACTGTTAGTTGCGTCGATCCGTGCACAACCGATCAGGTGCGCCTAATCATGGTATTCTTTCTTCGTCTGCCAGGCAGTACCAGACAAGGCGCGGCGCAAGCGGTACGTCGGAGCTTGGTCTTCAGCACTAGCGGCGCGTTCAGAGGTCCGTTCAGCCTCCGGGCCTGAGTCCACCGGACCAACGTCGATACATCCTCTCGCTCTCTCAATCTATCGCCATCTTTGTCTTCTCCGGCGGTGACGCGGTGGTACCGTGGTACTCCGTCCGCCGAGCTTGCCTGTCTAGCCGCTCGGGCTGCGGCCATCGCACAACCACAGACACGACTTTTTCTACGACTAGAGAAGACAACTCGGGGATTCACAGCTCTAGCCGCACACAAAAAATTTAGCAGGACACAGGGTTTCCGTACTCAAAGACGAGAAGTCTGGTGGGTCCGTCTGACAGGCTCAATGCGCGGCGGTACCGTAGAGGAGATATCAGCCTTATACAGAGTGAGGAGGCTAAGTGGAGAAAAATACTTATCATGCCATAATCAAATAATCTTTTTCCCAGCAAAGCAGAGCGGTGGCGTAGTGGTAGACGCTATTCAGTCGCCGTTGGATAATTTTAGTGACGACATAAAAAATAGTACTGCTTGACTGTGAAAGAAGATTGTGTGGCGGCTGGTGAACCGTGCTTTGGCACCACTCTACTTCATATCCTGAGGTTTCTTTGATTTACCTGAACATACGTGGGAGTTCAACTGATCATTAACTCCTCTCATCTTTGTGTGAGGGCAACTGCGCCAGCGCCCCAGAATCATGGCTGCCTTCCGAATATCTCACCTACAGGATTATTTTAAGGGTTCTGAACAACGGTAATCGCAAGCACAGGAACCGAGAGTAGCACAAATCTTTTACGATTCGAAATTAATGATGGTGATACATGTTGTAGTTTCAAAAAATTATACACGTACCCAAAGTTATAACATGATTACAAATATTATGTCTTATAAGCTGGTCGTTTGACTTATTATTCAATGATATGTTTTTTTATGTATCTCATCTTATTTTGGCAAGTTCCCTAGATTGTCATTTTAAATACAGAAGCATGGTGAGTTAGAAAATCAAACATAAACTGAGATGATTTTTTCTTTTACAGAATTATAAAACAGGTTTTGACAATTAATTCGTAATGAAGCCTATTCCAAGAAAAAGAATAAAATGTCCCAAAAAGTAGGAACAGAGCATATTGATATACTTTATTTTTATTGATAATCACCGCCAATATATCGATTATATCAAAAATGATTTTTGTTTTTATTTCATCATGGGTTATTTTGGAAATTAGAAGTAAAACTACACATCCCATTAAATGATATTGCGTTTTTGGCACTGGTACACTCATGAATCGTGAATAAATTTTGGATGGATCTCTTTCGTCAACAACATCTCGACCTGAGCTCCTGTATAGGAAAAACTGATTCCAAATAAGCTGGAATAACAATACTTCCCTAAAATCATCGGAACACAATTTCCATCCTTTATTTTGAATCCAGGCACGGAACACCAACTTGTCGCCCAACAGAAACGCGATCCGCTTCCGACGGGATATGCCGGCCATCGACTACCTGGGTAGTTATAGTACAGGAAGTATATTCGCATCTGCTTAGAGAAATATTTTGGTGGTTTTTTCGCATAATCTAATTAATAGAAGACCGCTTTTAATGAATCGGCATAATAGTGCGTCGAACATTGTTTTTCTTTTTTTATTAAAGTTGTGCAAAAAAACTTATCAAAACATTTTTCCGAGCAGATGAAAAGATAGTTCCTGGACTATTACCGTGGGTAATGAATGGGTGATTTCATCCAAATGTCAGGTAGCATATCAGCTACCGCGGTAGAATCTGTTTTTTCGACGGAGTGGCTGTTCTACAGGGTGTTCAGTTCACTTTTTGATTTAAAAAAAATACAAACTTAATGAAAAGAAAATATTTATTACTTCCAACCTATTCGTAAACTCGGCGAGTTTTATTTCTTGAATATCATTCCGTCCAAACGTTTGACTCCTCTCCGGACACACTCTTCGTGGATTATTGGAATACACTTTTGACTTTAGATAACCTCGCATGGTGTGAGGTCGGGTGACCTAGGAGGCCAGTGAATGTCTCCAAACTTCGAAGCAAAAAAAGTGTAAATCATGTCCTTGTATCGATCGAACAGTCACCTTTGGACTATGTAGCTGTTGTTGATGTTTCTCTTTTAGGTTTGTTGGTACCCAATATCTGCAATTTTGCTTGTTCACATAACCGTTTAAGTGATAATGGGCCTGGTCACTGAAAACAACGTTCTCGAGTCTGCGCTGCGTAGGAAAAAGACTCAACTTCCGTTCAGCACAAGATTTCCGTCATACGCAATCCCTTTTCTTTAAAGCATGGACTGATTGGATTTTATGAGGATGAAAACCCATTTTTTTCTTCATTATGCCATGCAGTGTTGACCTAGGGATTCCCAAAGCAGCGGAACGCTTCCGTACAGAACGCCGAGGATTTACAATGACCGAATCACTTACTCGACGCACATTCTCCTCAAAATTTCCTGCGTATGAATCACCACTCTTAAAAGCAAAAGCACGTTGCGCTCCGGTCCAGCGTTCCATTGTGACTATTTAACCCGCACGCCAAACGCATGGGCAGTAAAATTCGGAACAATTCGAACAAACACATGAAATCGAATCTCTTCTGCGAATCGTCCATCCCTACTGCTCGGCCTGAGGGCATCGGGTCAATCAAACCATCGGTTTGCCGTCGCCGCCAACGCTCGGCGTCGTCGCGCGCGTTCAGCGCATGCAGGTGAATCTGACGCTGCACGCTGTCCTTTTTCTCCCAAATCAAGGTCGGATAAGAAGGAGAGAAGGAGAGAGGAGAGGGAGGATGCGAGACGCGGCGGACGAGCCGACATCTCGAGTGGACCGCCGCGCCACGCCGTTCGCCAACGCTTCGAGCGACAGTAGCGGCTCGTTACTGAACTGAATCCCCAGGCAATGGCTCTTTTTAAGGCCAAGTGTTAAAAAGTCATAGTTATTGGCCATGTGATGACAAATTCCTTCTACTCCAACGTACACCTATCTCTACACTCTACACGCAGATATTCGGAGCGACAACTGGAGCAAAGAAAGCCAGCAGCGACTTCCTCTCCGGCGAGAGGCCTGGAGGTTAGCACTGCTTGAAGACGCAGCAATCTTGTCCAGTTTAATGCTTCCAAAACACAGTACTGCATCTTGACGAACAAGAAGCATCCTAGCGCTTATCCGGTTTCGATAGAGCCGAGCTCTGCCCAAGAGCCGCACATTTGGGCTGGTCGGAGTCCGGATCAGCGAGGACTTGATCTGGAAGGAATACATCTCGTCATTAGCGGCACCTGCAGGAAAAATGACCGTCTCACTCTGTACAAGGCCCAGAGAAGACCTAACCTCGAGTACTGCTGTCGAACTCCGTATATCCAGAACTGATCGATACCACCGCTCCTTTGTCCCTAGAGTATCAAGACAGTTCAAAAATCGGATTAACAAAGTTTCGTCAAGCTCCTCATAGCAGCTGCGGTGCCCTGGCGTTTAGGCTTCTGCCTGCACGGCTATTTCGGTGTAAAAAAAGGACGCGGTGCTGCGTTGGAATCAGTCGTCGACGTTAAAATTATAACCCGAGCTCATAGCAAAACGGAAGTTTTGAAGTAAAATTACAACTAACGGGTGATTTTTTAAGAGGTATAGGATTTGATTTTCAAAAAAAACACAAAAAATTTGAAAAAAACGATTGAATCTTTATTTGAGTCGATAGAACGGTCGATATAATTTAATGTTTCATATTTCATGTAAATCTTGGCAGCGGCTCCGCTTTAGATGGCCCATGCGCAAGGTCCAATTTTGGCACACTCTCTCCAACATATCAGCCGGTATCTCACGAATAAATGCTTCAATATTGGCTTCCAGTGCGTCAATCGTTGCTGGTTTATCCCTGTAGACATTAGCCTTAACATGGCCCCACAAGAAATAGTCCAACGGCGTTAAATCACACGATCTAGGCGGCCAATTGACGGGCCCTAAACGTGAGATAAACTGTTCACCGAACTCGCCTCTCAATAGGGCCATTGTTTCGTGTGCGGTGTGGCATGTGGCACCGTCTTGTTGAAACCACATGTCAGCCAAGTCCAGCTCTTCCATTTTGGGCAAAACAAAGTTTGTTATCATCGCACGGTAGCGCTCGCCATTCACAGTTACGTTCCGGCCATTGTCGTCTTTGAAGAAGTACGGCCCGATGATGCCACCGGCCCATAATCCACACTAAACAGTGATTTTTTCGGGATGCATTGGTAGCTCTTGCAATGCTTCTGGCTGGTCTTCACTCCAGATGCGGCAATTTTGCTTGTTAACGTATCCATTCAACCAGAAATGAGCTTGGTCGCTGAACACAGTTTTTCGATAAAAATCTTCCTCCAACTTTGCCAGCGCCCATTCACCAAATTGGAAACGTTGTGGGAGGTCGTGTGGCTTCAATTCTTGCACCAGCTGTATCTTTAAGGTTTTACACCCAAATCCTGTCGCAAAATTTTCCACGTAGTGGAGTAACAGAGGCCCAATTGCTGCGAACGGCGGCGAATCGACATTTCACGGTCATCACTAACACTGGCGGATACAGCCGCAATATTTTCTTCAGTCCTCACTCTACGTCTGCGTGTTGGTGGTTTAATGTCCAATAATGTAAACTGGGTTTGAAATTTAGTCACAAGCTTCCGAATAGCTCCCTCAGTAGGCCGACCAAATTGCCCATAAATTGGAAGCAGTGCTCGATGCACTCTCTTAACCGAGCATGAATTTTGATAGTAAAATTCAATAATTTGCAAGCGTTGTTCGTTCGTAAGTCGATTCATGGTTAAATTATAGACCAAACTGAACAAGTTTGACAATGACACAAGACACGATTCACGCGTCATCTGTCAAAAACAGTGTTGCCAAAAAGACACTAACAAAAAAATCACCCATTATTATATTCTTCATTTTTTTGTAGATTTTTAACGCCTTTGCCATTCGGAAAATTCTAACAAAAATTGAACTAAGTAAATAATGATTAACCCTGGAATAAAGAATATTTTATAAGTTACTTAATTTCT